ATGGGAGGGGTGTCAAACAATGGTGATCTATCTGTGAATTACACTTGCCCATCTACATCATTAAATTAAAAGAACCCCCCCCCCCCCCAACCGGGGGGATAGTACATCTGTTTATTAGTGTAAAACATCCATTTATGACATGCTATATATCAATGAAAATGACATGTATAAAGATTATGTCGAATTTGAATGATAACTGACAAAGCATATCCAAGATACCACATTAAAAAAAAAAAAACAAGATGCCTGCCAGTCAGCCATCTTTGATCCAATTGCGAATGAAATTGTCATGTATAATCTATGTACCAAGTTTGAAAGAAAACTGACAAAGCATGTCCAAAATACGACATTTTCAAAAAACAAGATGGCTGCCAGTCGGCCATTTTGAATCAAATCGCTAAACCACTGCATGTGCATATGTTCCACATAAAGTACTAGGCACATGCAAAGAATGAACGGAATCAGCCCAAAGGATTCTGAAATATGATTTTGAATGGACGGACGCATGGATGAACATACGATCGGAGGACATGTATCCTAACATGTATAATCTATGTACCAAATTTGAATGAAAACTGACAAAGCAGGTCCAAAATACAACATTTTCAAAAAACAAGATGGCTGCCAGTCGGCCATTGTGAATCAAATCGCTAAATCACTGCATGTGCATATGTCCCACATAAAGTACTAGACACATGCAAAGAATGAACGGAGTCAGTTCGAAGGATTCTGAAATATGACTCCAGACGGACGAAGACCGAATTATAATTCCTCGTTTTAGAACTTCATTCACACAGGGACTAATTATTGACATTGTTAGTAACTTACCAAGGCATCCAAGTGTTCTCTTGTAGCTATAAATAAACGGCCATTCAAACTTAAAGTGGTTGTAACTCCGACCTCATTATCTTTTATAACAACCCTCTCTGAAAAGAAGTTATACTTTTAATGAGTAAAAGCTTATTTTTTCTAAAATCATTTCAGTTCTCATTTCACAATAGTGTGCCTTCTACTAAGCTGGACTGATTTTGTATGAATACTGAGTCAAAATAGAATCTCCATCATGACGATTTAGCTTGTTGACTGCTGGGAAGATTGGTATTCAATAAAATAAAATTGTATGCATGTGTACAGGTGACTTGTGGCACCAAGAAAAATGGTGTGACCTCTGATTTCCTTCATTTTGTTTATAAAATATGAATTTAATTTTTCCAAGTTACAAATTCCAAACAGAGATGTCAAATTGCATTTTTTTACGTACCTCCCGTAGACTTGACCTCACATAGCACCAAATCCTCCCCAATACAAATCTTATCGGCAGCACTTTGAGCAATAACGCTGGCCTTAGAGTCTATGGGTAGTCTGAGTGTGGTGTACGTATGATCAGCACAATACACTTTGAATATATCTATAAATTTGAAAATACAATGAGTTAGTCTTTATAGAGTTTGCTTCACACTTGATAAATGATGTACAAGTAAAGTTTGAACGTGATAGTTCCTGAAATGTACAAGATACAGGTGCTAAGTATGATCTCAGTGTTGCGTATAATAATGCATTTTGTTTATTCCCGGGTCAGCCCAGGGACTGTAGTGCTAGCGGTATGTTTCTGTCCCCCAATGCTCTTAAGACGAAACATGTTTTTTCACTCTATACGCGTCTAACTGAAAGCGATAATAGAATTAAATTAAATAGAGTTAAATTGCTTTCATCATCAGACTTGCATTTATGTTCGAAGTTTTATGTTCTGTACTATAAACTTATGTACAGTGTATAGGCCACAGCTACGCTAGAATAATGAATTTATTTATAAGTCAAGTCTTTTTCATAATTTTTTTTTTCTCATTGTTTGTTTATATACACTGTAGAAGACTTTATTTTCGCTGGAATTAATTTTCGCTGAAAAGACTTTTTGGGTGTTTTGTATGGAATTTATTTTCACTGATTTCTGATGAGTTGAATGTAAAATATAGAAAAAAAGGTATATTCACTGGATTTTATTTTCACTGAATCATTCCTTCAGCGGAAATAGCAAAAATTAATTCCAAGCGAAAATAAAGTATTTCACAGTTACTGTATTGTTTTTGTTTTTTGTTTTTTTTTATTATGGGATGTACGAACTTTTCCACTTCCACTTCCACATATTCTGCAATAAAGATTTAATAATAATACGGGCAGCACATACAGAGATGAAATTGTAAGCCTCGGTTTTCAGACTTATCTCAAATAACAAACCCATATAATTTTGTTCGAGACCTTATTTACCAAATGAGAAATTGTCTCCATTCAGTTCAAATTAAATACAGAAACTATAGAAACATACATATTAAAAATAATCCCCCAAGGGGATGGAAGAGAGTACGGCACCATGGTTCATGTAATAATCTATTCATGCCACTAATTACAGCCTGTAAAATACTACATGTACTGAATAAAACTATAATATCGTTAACCAGATTGATGTGTCTTTAGTATGACCTCATCAAAGGCCAAATAATAAATGCCCTGGTAGATCATATTTTATAAGTAAAACATTTTGCATGATCTTTAAACTTTTACCATAATTTTTTCCTGCAACATTTTTCATATTTTTGGATATTTGTCTGTACTTTCTTTGTTAATTTTGGAA